TAGGGTGTGCCCTTTGCATAAATATTTTGCACTAAAAGGTGTCCCTCATTCTCATCTTAGAAGGTTGGGTGATATTCAAGAATACATCTTTTTGATGGTATAAGATTATCAGCTTGGCTACTCACAAATTGTTCACCACTTATGACAAGCAACCACTTGACACCATGGGGGATTCATCTGACTCTGTTGAAACTAATGGAAAAGGAGGTATATGCAAGCTATATACTAAATTAGGTGATTTATCTCAGGTCAGTATTTGGGTTACAGTGGATGTCAAAGGCTTACCCGTGGAACACTACTGATGTTGGTGGTCTATATAGAGAACAGAAGACTAAATTACCAAAATACACACAACTGCTGTCAGATGGTTAATGGCTACCCTATAAATCAGGAGTAGTGAATTGAAATACAAGGGGATCTGGTGAACATTTTCATCCAGCCAATATATGAATAGTGTTCTGGACAGAATAGTTACTCTACATCGCACAGCTGCTGGTTTGTGTTCCCAGGCACAGTGCTAACGCACTGATCCCAGCATATTGCAACTGTTTAATTTTTTTTTTTATTCGAATTTTTTTTCCCCTAGTTTACATGTGCATGTCTCAAGCACATGTTTTTATTATTCGTTTGTTCAAGGCTGGGGTGGTTTATTTTATTTAACTTTTTTCATCTTTTGTATTGTATTTTTTTACTGTTCTATTTAGCACCTTAATTTTTTTAATTGTATTTTTCTTTTCAAAATTTTTGGTCAATTAGACCTCTGATGTCTATCCTGCCCTCCAATACAGATCCTGATTTTGTGTGCTGTGATCCTAGGCCCCCCCCCAGAGGAAACTATCTGAATAAGACTAGCATGAGGAAAGTAAGGAAGAGCTCAAAAACAAAACAAAAAAACTAATCTATATACCAAGAGCTAGTGGCTGATAGAGGATACAGAAGAGTCCGTTTTTAACCCTCTCACCACTGACAAAACTGACCAGACCGGGGCAACATTCTCCCAAAATCAGTCTCTCTCCACATAGCACAGCAGCAATTACCAACCAAACAGTGGCAACCGGATAACTGACTTCCATGCTGCTAATCTTGTAGGGAATTGATTTAATAATTTTGGGAGAGGGTTTCGACACAGGTCACACTTGGTCTTGAAGACACAATACTTGCACGCTTCACCTGACAGTCTGCAAATTCAGCTGACTAAGATACTATCAGGGTTATTCACAAGAGTGAAGAGTTTGGAGAAGACAGGAGAAGTGAACAATCTAGGCCAAAATAGCTGATTTGGATAAATTCTCCAATTCAGCTATGCTGTCCTAGATTGTTCCCTTCTCCTGCCTTCTCCACACTCTTCACCCTTTTGTGAATAACCCTGTAGATGTTGTAGCTACCGACTAGATGAGCCCCTAGAAAGTTTCACTGACCTTTGATTTGGACTGTCAGTTTGAAGCTTGGAAACCTGTGCAAGGCTGAATCCTTGGTCATCTAGACCTGTGACTAAGATTTCATTTCATTGACTTCTGAAATCTTCATTAATAAGTTTGTTGAAACCAGGCTGGACTTTGAGGATACAAAGCCAGTAAGAAAAACATTTCCTATCCCCCTGGTTGAACTTATTTTTCTATTGCATTAATCAAGTAATATGCCAGCTAAACTTGTACAGAGTCAGCAAGGAAATACTATTCCCAGAGATTGTTGAATGCATGTAGTCCCAAGCCAACCTATTGAATGCCTTTTCAGCATCAGTGGACAGGGAGTAACAAGGGGAGTGCGCCCAGTGGTGCAAGTGACGTATTGTCCCAAGATCATTGACCTTATCCAAGGAAATGACTGAGGGCATATGGAAGAAGTGGTTCAATAGAATTAGAATTGTGATATTCCTTGGGAAGGACCGTTATATGTGGATCCAATGAGTGATCCGAGATTAGTGATGACCCATCCTGCGGGTCAAAGGCTGCTATGAACCTGGGAAGGCAATGTTCAGCAATGGTTTTAAAATAATGAGTAAATCTTTTGGGGCCCGGACCCTTGCCTGGCTTAAGTCGAGAAATTGGTGTCGGGGGGGGGGGGGGGGGGCGA